ACAAACATAACTTAATTATGGTGATCAATTTTAAATTATAATTAAAAAATTTATTAAAAAATTAATAAAATAAAGAGATAATTACTTTATTTTTAAAAAATTATCTATATAATAATTAGATATTTAATATTAGTAGATAATAAATTTTATCTCTATAATAAATTAAAGTGTTTATAAAGGAAATAACTTATTAATTATACCAAAAATTGTTATGTGTGAACAGAAAAAAAATAGAAAAAGATATACATTCATGATTTTTAATTTTAATAGATTCTCTCTAATGTAATATAAATTAATACAGGGGTTGTTTGCTATTTTTTTTTTAATTTCTGTCATAGTGTTTTTTTAATAAAAAAGGTACGTAGAGATGAGTAAATATATATATATTACTTAATAATTTAAAAAAATTATATATATATATATATATTAAATATTTGAATAATTGATTATAAAATAAGATGTATAATATAATATTATTTTAAATAATAATTAATAACAAAATATTTGATAAATTATTGATAATTAGTTATAATATATATATATATATATATATATATATATAATAAAGTATTGTTAATTAATAAGAAAGTATAATTAAGAGATTTGTAGTTGATTATTGTATGAGATGTGTATTTTGAATTCATAGATGTTATTGAAATGATTTGACAACCACTACAAGAAAATCGCGTATTATCGATCGGATATTTACCGACGGATTTGTATCCGATCGGAAAATAATTATTACTGATGGAAATTACCGACGGATATAAAATATTTGTAGAATTTGATCTTACCAGACGGATATATCCGTCGGTAAAATAATAATTAGTTACCGACGGATATATCCGTCGATAAATCCATCGGTAATTGACAGATGAATTTACCGACGAATATATCCGTCGATAAATTAATAATTAATTACATCTGTAAATTACCGACGGATATTTCCGTCGGTAAATTATCAATTAGTAAATATTCAACTAATTAAAAAATTAAATATTTTTTATTTAATAATTTCATTTAATCATAATTAGATTAATTTATAATAATTTCTTAAATTAAATAATTTTAAAAAATAAATATTTAATTATATATAAATATATAAAAATATATAAAAACATATAAAAATATTTAATTGTATATAAATATATATATATATATATAAATATATAAATATATATATAAATATATAAAATATAAAAATAAAAATATATAAATATATAAATATATAAAAATATAAAAATATAAATATATAAATATATAAAATATATAAATATATAAAAATATAAATATATAAAATATATAAAATATATAAATATATAAATATATAAAATATATAAATATATAAATATATAAATATATAAATATATAAATATATAAATATATAAATATATAAATATATAAATATATAAATATATAAATATATAAATATATAAATATATAAATATATAAATATATAAATATATAAATATATAAATATATAAATATATAAATATATAAATATATAAATATATAAATATATAAATATATAAATATATAAATATATAAATATATAAATATATAAATATATAAATATATAAATATATAAATATATAAATATATAAATATATAAATATATAAATATATATAAATATATATAAATATATTTGTATATAAATATATAAATATATTTGTATATAAATATAATTTATTTGTAAATTATTATCAAAAAATTCTGGTAGTTTAGTGGTTGGAGTATCGACCTCTAACTCTAAGGTACTGGGTTCGAATAATATGATAATAATTGAAACCTATAAAAATGTAATAGGGAAAAATAATTAATAATAAATAATAAAAATAAGTAAATAATCTATATAAAGGGAAGGGGTATTCTATAAAATAAATAATCTATATAAGTAAAATATTTAATAAATAATAAAAATATTACCGACGGATTCTCGTCCAGTCGATAATTTTGTCAAACATTTAGCGACGGATATATCCGTCGGTAATTATCGACGGACTATTAAATCCGTCAGTAATATTTACCGACAACCAAATTTTTGACGGATTTTTGGCCGTCGAAAATCCGTCGGTAAATGGATATTACCGACGGATTTTTGTTATTACCGACGGATTTTGACCGTCGATAATATCAAAATTTCTTGTAGTGAACTACCCAAATTTAAATAATATAATAATTTCTTTTAAAAGAATACATATTACACAAATTCTTTTGATAAATGCATGAGATATGACATGATAATCAAGTAGTTTATTGACAACTTTAAAATTATAATTTTGTTTTCTCATTCAATGAAAACATACGTTTACTAATCTTACACATAATAATTTATTTTTCTTTTTATCGCTTTATCATATACTTAATATAGGAAATGGTTGAGATGACTAATATTAAAACTTGAGAATAATTTATTATTCTCATGTATATAAAAAAGTTTATTGACATCATCTATAAGATTATTGTGGAACTTGAGAAGTCGAGAGAATCAATATATTTAAAAAAAATTATTATTTTGTCATCAATAAATTCTAAGTTTCAAAGATCACAAGTATTTATTTTTATAAAAAAAATACAAACTAATTATATAAGAGAATATAATATAATCTTCAATAAAATATTATGTTATATATTTTTCTCACACTTGTAAATTATTCTATTTTTTTAATTCGATGAATTTTTAATTTTCTTAAATTCTCAGCAAAACAAAACGGTGAGTACATGATAAAAAAATCATTATATATCTTATAAAGATATACAGTGGTAAAAGTAGAACAACAATATATTAATTATAAAAATTTTTATTAAGATGAATAATGTTTATAAATGCTTAAATTTGATATGATATTTTTAAGTTTTTTGTAATTTTTTATATTTTTTCACTTTTTTTACAATTAATTGTTAATTTCAACGTCAGTAAAAATAATTAGAGATATTAAATTTGCTAATTGATTATGAGAATAAAATATTCTTTAAAAAAATGGGAGCAGTTATGGTAGTTGGCAAAAACTACAAAAAGAAAAATAAAGCATAAAAAAGCGTTAAAAAAAGAATGCATAACAAGGTCAAATTGAATAAAATGATGTTGTGCATTTTTTATTTTTTTCTATAAGGAGAAAGGACATTAAGTGATGTGAACATGATCATGATAAGGGGTAGAGCAAGAGAAACAAATGAAGTTCTTTAAGGACTAGAGCAAGAGAAACAAATGAAGTTCTTTAACAATACTTGTTGGTTGACCAAGTTGTGTTTTGGATTAATCAATTAATGAGTTTTAGTTTAGTTTTATTGCAAGTTGTAATAAGGGCCTAATTGAAAATTTAGTTATCAGTCTTTGGGAGACCAAGAGGGTGTATAGTTGATTGACTTTTGGATGCCACAATTTCAATTACAATCAATTATTAAGTAGTTTTCAATTCCTAGGTTAATAAATCATTATTAGCATTTATTTTCCTTTAATGAATATTTGTAACTCTGATGGCAAAACTTCTTTATAAGCTAAACTATTTTTATCAGAAATAACAAGTTGAGTTTTATTTTTAGAAATATTAGAGTTTATCTCTTTTATATTAGTGAGAGTGATTCTCCTAAGTTCTTGAGTGATTCAAGAATATTTGGCTGTATCAAAGGACTTTCACATCCTTTGTGTGTTGTCTTCCTTGGAAAGAGTGATTTTTTTCTTTTACCTTATTATCACTAAATTCCTAAATTTCCTACAAGGTTCTAACCTTAAAGATCCTAAATCACCCCTTGTGAATCATATTAGTTGATATCAGAGCCCCGGTTTAAAGGTTTGAACATCAAATTGATGATAGAGGAGGATAAAAAGAAAATGAGAGAAATTTGTTTTCAAGAAAAGAGAAAAAAAAAACGTTAGTGAAACACTTGAGAAGAAAAATAGTGATCAAAAGAAAAGTAAAACACTTGAAGTGAGGGAGAGTTATTTAGTCATAAAAAGTGAGTATAATGTTTGTTCTACATTTAATTTGTCAGACTTATCTTTTTTTAATGTAGATGACGAATCCGATTTGAGGACAAATCCTTTTCAAGAGGGAGAGAATGATGTGAACATGACCCATGATAAGGGCTAGAGCAAGAGAAGTAAATGAAGCTCTTCAACAAGTATTGTTGGTTGACCAAATTGTGTTTTGGATTAATCAATTAATGGGCTTTAGTTTAGTTTTATTGCAAGTTGTAATAAGGGCCCAATTGGATATTTAGTTATCAGTCTTTGGGAGACCAAGAGGATGCATAACTGATTGAATTTTGGATGCCACAATTTCAGTTACAATCAATCATTAAGTAATTTTCAATTCCTAGGCTAATAAATCATTATTAGCATTTATTTTCCTTTAATGAATATTTGTAACTCTGATGGCAAAACTTCTTTATAAGTTGAACAATTTTTATCAGAAATAACAAGTTGAGTTTTATTTTAAGAAATATTAGAGTTTATCTCTTTTATCTTAGTGAGAGTGATTCTCCTAAGTTTTTGAGTGATTCAAGAATATTTGGCTATATCAAAGGACTTTCATATCCTTTGTGAGTTGTCTTCCTTGGAAAGAGTGATTCTTTTCTTCCACCTTATCACTAAATTCCTAAATTTCCTACAAGGTTCTAACCTTAAAGATCCTAAATCACTCCTTGTGATTCATATTATTAAGAGAGAAATAAGAAAAAGTATTTGGATTCTTTAAAAATCAAGAAAGATGGTTAAACATTTGCAGATAATATTTTCATGATATTTTTAATTGTGATTGATTCTTCATACTACAAGAAAATTGTTAATTACCAACAAAAATTATCCGACGGATTTAAATCGATCGAAAAATAAACTTTTATCAACAGATTATACCCACCGATATTTGTTGTGGAAGAAATTTGTATTACCGATTAATTTATCCGATGATAAATTAACAATTACTTGCTAACTAATTTATCCGTCGAAAATGTTTGTAGGTGGGGTGATTCCCTCTTCCCTTCATTCCCATTGTGCACCTCACAGATTCTCGTCAATTTCAACCCCAAATTCGCCACCGCGTGACCAACCACGACTGACCTTAGCTACGCGCAGTAGCCCTAACCCTTCGCGAGCCACCGTGGCCTCCCTCGGCAATCCCACAGCCACCGCACCACTGTGAATTGCACCACGAAGAGCTTACACCACACTTCCCTTCATCGGAATTGTGCCCAAACCAGCGTGAGTCACCCACGCAGCAACAAGCTCCCATCCACTCTCTCTAGTCCAGCCTAACCACCGCACCGGAATCAACGCATTTGAGTCGTGCACGACAGCCCTAGCCCCTCCGCAAGCCACTGCGCCACTATTTTTTCTCCCCTTCATCGTGAATCGTGCCACCACACCTCCCTTCATCGGAGCTGCTGCAAAACCACCGTGAGCCACCCACACAGCGGCGAGCTCCCATCCACTCTGTCTAGTCTATCCCAACCACCGCACCAGAATCGACACGTTCTTGGCAGCACTGAGTCTTTGCTCAAAGCAGAAGTCGCTAGCCAGGTTCCTTGTAGAGCTTGAACTCGATGCCTGGGGCCATGCTTTGGGTCTCATTTTATGTTTGTTGAAATTTGTTTTGCCTGATTCCAATATGAGATTGATTTCTGATTAGGGTCTTTGTTTTTTATGGTTTGGTTTGGTTTCTCTTTGAGCTTTTTGTCTCTGATTGATTGGGATCTGCAAGATTTTGAGCAGGATGTTTGTTTCTACATGGTTTAGATTTGACCTTATTTTGTTTATCTCATTGTGGACTAGGGCTGCTGGCTGATCTGAGAGTGTGTGCTTGGGTTTTGATAACTCATAAGATTTTGATGTGCATCCTAACTGTGCAGGTTTCCTTCTTTTTCTTTTGGAGTCTCTTATTTGGATATTTTTGGTGTTGAATGAAATGCATATCTGCATTGATCTATGAAATTGCTTATTAGGACACTTTTGTAATTAAGGCTATTTGTTGTTGTTTTGTGTAATTTTATTCAGCAATTTTTACTTATTGGAAAAATTTTGTAATTACTTGAACATTCATAAGTATATATGTTCATAATTTAGTTCAACATGTAGCAGTCTGCATGTTTTTAATTATTTGGCATATACAATCATCTACATGTTCTTAATTAGTGTGTACAATGATTAAACAATAAGTTATTGTTTATAAAAGTTTTAGTTCATTCATTGTATGAACTTGTGCTTAACATTAAAGTTTGATTTGTAGTACACCTATAAGTTTATTACATCTATACAAACCCCAATTTCAAGTTTATATTGTAATTAATCTCTCAACATCCAAAATCAATTCATCCTATTTCTTCATTGTTACAGAGAATGAACGATGTTCCTTTCAATCGTAGTTGAATGTATGATAGATGTTATAGTGGTAGAAGAGGTTTGAAAGGTTTTGTTGGATCTTGTGTTGGTGAAGCTGAGTCCACTCCTGATGATTCTAAACATGATGAAGTTATAAGGTCCCGCTGTTGGGTCCACACAGTTAGAGGTAAGAATAAAGGAACATTGTATGGGGCTGGAGAACTAGCTCATGGTTGGTTATCAGGGTGGTTCTGATAGCTTAAAGTATCAAACTCAAACATCAAACTCCTCAATTGACTTAGAAGAGATGAATCAATTGATACAACGACTATCTACACAAGAAGAATAAATTATTCGAATAAGGGAGCACAACAAACGACTAAAGTACCAATTTAGAGAGTTTCAATCCCTTGTCGGTGCAGTCGTTCAATTTTTACCCATCGGTGCATAGTCTCTCATTCAGCAGGGCCAACATAGTCTGAAGGCAATGAAGGGAAATTGATGACAATGTGAAACAGTGCTTACATTCCCAAGAGATTATTTTGATGATGATTCAAGTCAACAACATTCAAGACTCAAGCAAACCCAAGAAATGATTTTGATAAAGATTCTATTCAACATCAAGCAAGCCCAAGATGATTCCTGAAGATTATATAGAGTCTTAGAATACTGGATATGGAGGTATAAGTTGATGAAGTAATATTATGCATAAGCCTCCAAAGCACAAATGTGATAAAATTTCGTAACATGATATTTTTCACTATCATAATCAATTATGATGCATCAGAAATAGAAAAATGATTTCTTTGTCATAATTGATTATATTGGTAACATAATCGATTATGACAGTTCAAATTTGAAAAATATATCTATTTTGAAGAATAAATGTTTTTTAAAAGCACCTTATACCACTTCCTTTCTATTTGGACAAAATCTATGAAATTATTAGTGACCAATGACTATTTTCTGATGCTATTTTTCTATTTAAATGAGTTTTGATGAAAAATCAAAATGACACAATTACAGAATTCGAAAATACAATTTATATTCAATCAGTTTTAAGAAAAGAATTCTGAGCAAGGCAACAGAGATATTTTACATGTTTTGAGAAAACTCTCTTCTCCATTGCCACAGAGATATTTTACCAAAACCCTTTTCTCCATTGCCCATTGTGTTTTCGTTTTTAATCATACTTATTCTTAGAGGTTGACATTCTATAGACTTCTACAATTTGTTGTCTCCATTACCCAGGTGTGATTGTTCTTATTTTATTACCTTCATCCTTTTTAGGCTTAAGTGGTTGATTGTTAAATTTCCTGTTTAGGGTTTAAGTAGTCACTGTCATTCTGTTGTGTATTTTTAGGGTTTCCTGTGTGGAAACTTTTCATCCCTTTGATTTTTTCAGGGAGGTGTTTTCATCCTTTGATTTGTTCAGAAGAGGTGTTCATCCCTAGTGGGATTCTAGGGAGGTGTTCATCCTTAGTGGGATTCTAAGGAGGTGTGTTCATCCTTTGATTTGTTCAGAGGAGATGTTCATCCCTAGTGGGATTCTAGGAAGGTGTTCATCCTTAGTGGATTTCTAAGGAGGTGATTATCTTTTGAATTAGTTTGCTTTTTGCTGAGTTGATTGTAATTTGTGAACTGAATTTAAAAGATAGTGAATTGGGGTCACTCTTGTGTTAAGAGTTGACTAGGAACTAGATGTAGAGTTGATTATACCCGAACCAGTATAAACCACTATGTGCTCTTCTCTTTTCCTTATCTCTTTTCATTGCATTGCTCTCCTTACGCCCCTTATTTTTATCTCTATCTTTCTCTATCTTGTTGATATTTTATCTCTCTGATTATATTGTTTCCACTTTATCTTTGTTCAATTTGATAATTAAAATTAAATTAATAAATATTAGACATCTTAAAATAAATTTTTAATTGACATCTATTTTAATTTGTTCATCTATTCACCCCCCCCTCTAGATGTCATTTGTCTAACATAGTCAACCGTGATAGTGAAGAACAACCTCATCAATAGGTAGTGAATCAAGAGCAACAAGAAAACCCACCACAAGAAGATAACATACTTGAACATCATTCTCTTGATTATTCTCACTGTTAAATGTTATACAAACAATAATAGGATAATATTTCAGTTCTACTTGTATCTTTAACCTATTTTTAGGATTGTACATTATGTTTCATAGTGCATAATTTAGAGTACATTTGAATTGACTTGTTATTAAGTTGAGTTAGATTTATGTTTAATTGGATTGTTTAATAGATTATTGAATTGGATAGTTGAATTGGACCATTGAATGGATTGAATGTTATACATTTTATAGGTTATATGGGAAGAGACAAAAATATAATAGCTCTGGAAATAGAGGCAGTTTTATCGGCATATTAATGACGGATAATCCGTTGGTAAATGGCTGGAGACTATCATTGATAATTACAGACGGATATATCCGTTGGTAATTACTGAGGGAAGGAGTATTCGGTAATTACAGATGAATATATCTGTTGATAAGTCTTTTGAAAGTAGACCACCTACCAGACTTTACCTACAGAGATATCTGTCAGTAATTACTTATGACATTTTCCACGAAAATATCCATCAGTAATTACTGACGGATATATCCGTTGGTAATTACTGAGGGAAGGAGTATTCGGTAATTACAGATGAATATATCTGTTGATAAGTCTTTTGAAAGTAGACCACCTACCAGACTTTACCTACAGAGATATCTGTCAGTAATTATTTATGACATTTTCCACGAAAATATCCATCAGTAATTACTGACGGACTAGAAAAATTCGTCGATAAATTTTACCGACAACACAATTTTCGACAGATTTCTATCTGTCGATAATATCTATTTACCAACCAAATTTTTTAGTTATCGACGGATTTTGTCTGTCAAAAAATTTAATTTTTCTTATAGTATCAATGTGTCTATTAAATACATACATAATGTTAACATTTCCAACACATTGCAAGGATGCATATAAGTAGCTTGTTAAAAGAAAGGAGAAATAATTATTCAAGTAAGGAATGAAACAAAATTTTTGTAATAGCTTTTGAATTTATTTCTTTAATAATGTCCACTGAACAAAGTAGTAATATCAAAAAATTGTTATTTTGTTCCCAAATTTATTTAAAAAATTACTCTAATTTGTATGCTCGATAAGCAAGGTTTTTGCATTACTTGTAATGAAATTTTTTTATCAATCTATCGTAAAGATTATTTATATGTGATGGTTTTCTCTAATAAGAGATTTACGTTTTACTTGATGTAACTACAATAAATATAATTTTTAATAAAAAAATTAAATAACAAATATAAAATCTGTTATTATATATTATTTGTGACGAATTTTTAATTTATCACAAATATTATTTATAATAGTGACTAAATTAAATGTTGTCACTGTAATTTTATTAAAAGTGACAAAAGTAATAAAAATATATATTTATTATAAATATTATTTTAAATAATGATTAAATTAAAAATTATTATCACAAATTCATTAAATATATAAAATCATGTATGTCATAAATACTTAGCTATAAATATGTAATACTATATAATAAAATTAATTTTTATAAAAATATCATTAATGTAAAACTTATTAAATTTTTATAAATTATTATTAGTATTTATATATTTATTTTTTTAATGAAAAATAAAATATTAAATTTGTCTTATCTTCAATTTAAACTCCCATTTTAATCAACTATTTAAGTAAATAAGCTAAAAATATTAATGTTCTTATTTGAAACCTTGACAATGTACTTATAAAACATTAAACTAGTTACCATATATATACAAGTTTAACTTAGTTTTATATCTTTAATAAATTATATTATTTGTAATGCTTAAATTCAAAATTTTATTTCAATAAATAAATAAAAAATTACCTTAATTTTATATTTAATTAAGTTAATAATTTTAATATTAAAATTGAAAAATTATTTAAATAATACAAAAATAACAACATTTTGGATTAAAATTTTAACCATATTTTTAAGGGACAAAAATTAATTATTATTAATGTTAATC